GTAAACACACACACACACACACACACACACACACACACACACACACACACACACACACACACACACACACACACACACACACACACACACACACACACACACACACACACACACACACACACACACACACACACACACACACCATGTGATATTATTATATTTATCATTTTCGCAAAAACGCTAAGGTCTCATTCAAACCTAATAGTCACTTCTCTGGTGCGCACCAGACCACAGTTTGTTCCACTGTTTCATTTTTTAGAAGGTTTGGTTTGCGTTCACACGGGCAAAACTCAAATGGACTATAAACTTTAAACTAGGGCTATTTTAACGCGATTAACGCATGCGTATTTTTTGTCCTCGGCCGCCCCGTAGTTTCAGAGCCCATCGAGTTTAAAATACCATCTACAAGCTGATGCTGACATCCCCGCTCCTGCCGCCCGCTTGTGGCAGACCACACTTCCACGCTCACCGGCAGGCCCGGACTGGCCATCGGGAGGACCGGGAGGGTGTGTGTATGTGTGGCGCGAGCGAGGCACACCTTACGTGTTGTTGTTGTTGTTAGCATCTGGTGCTAGCTAGCTGCGCTAACGGATATAAGGAGCTGTTTCAATGAAAACAGAGGAGCGACATTTCGCCGACAACTGCGCCGAGTACTTGACTTTATGCAGGTAGCCAGACAGTGGGACATTGTACGAAAAGTCAGCACACTCAGCACGGATAGTACGCGCAACATGATTGCAGCGTCCAGGCAGCTCCCGTTCGAGCATATATGCCTTGAGCTGCACATAGCTCCAACGATCCATCACAGTGTCTCCACATTTTCACACACACACACACACACACACACACACACACACACACACACACACACACACACACACACACACACACACACACACACACACACACACACACACACACACACACACACACACACACACACACACACACACACACACACACACACACACACACACACTTTGTATTGTATTAATGTATGAGAGAGGTTCCAGGTTGAATTGAGGCGAATATTTGTAATGTTCAGAGGTTGTTTAATATATTCATGAGAATATTTGTCATTGTTCAAATGATAAACAAACATATAAAGTATATTTGTCCACTCATATGTTGATAAGAGTATTAAAAACTTGAAAAATATCCCTCTGAGGTACATTTAGAACAGATAAAAAATGTGCGATTAATTTGCAATTAACTATGGACAATCATGCGATTAATCGCGATTAAATATTTTAATCGACTGACAGCCCTACTTTAAACACAAGTCGTGTGTACATTTACTCCGCCACTGAACATACTATATATATATATATATATATATATATACACATTTAAATGTGTACTGCCTGGATTCAGCCATTCTCGCCAACATTTTTGGAAATTGGTGCTTGCGCAAAGCATTGTAGGGATTAATTTCCCGCAACGAAGGATTCAGTCCTCGGTAGAATTCCAAGGATCCTGGACATCGCGACGTGGGAAGCAAACCCAGACATCACACCACGTAGCATTACGGAGCAAACACGGAGAAATGTCTTACCTGTTGCTGTTTCTGATCAAAAGTTGTGTTCAATGGCATTAAAACGATAAATACCCTGCTGAAGGTTAATCCAATGTGTCTGTGTCACTTTGAAATAATTACTGATAATCCATCTTCATATTTACTAGTTTGAGCCTAGGTTTCAGTTTTCAGTTTTCAGAGCGTAACATAGCTTTCGACTGCGTGCGCATCACTCTCACTTTTTAATGGTAACGTGTGTGTGTATGTAGAACTTCCCCTTCGATTCTATTGGCTCTAACGGTTCAAAAGAGATGTCAATCACCAAATTGACCAATGGGTTCCAGAGAAACGTCAAATCCACCCAAATCCACCCAAATGACCACAAATGTGAGGTCTTTTTTGCAAAACTCTCTAAAAAGGTCAGATTTCACTTGTTTTGCATCAATTTTGATACAGGGTACTTATTATATGTTATAGTTTGGATACCTAAAGCTTTTAGTCTACTATCCCATCATTCAAGGGTGGTTTTCACTATAAGTAATGTTTTGTTTTTTTGACGGACACTATAATTTACATTTTTTTACTATGTTCAATCTATAATATAATAATAAATACCCTGTATCAAGATTGATGCAAAACAAGTGACATTTTACCTTTTTAGAGAGGTTTAGAAGAAAAACCCCACCTCTGGGGTCATTTGGGTGGATTTGCCATATCTCTGGAACCCATCGGTCGATTTTGATGATTGACATCTCTTTTGAACTGTTAGAGCCAATAGAATCGAGGGGAGGTTCCTAAATCCATCTAAGCATTACCCATTGGTGAATGAGAGTGATGCGCAGCCAGCATGCCCAAAACCGGAAGCTCTCATACACTCTATATGAAAAATATGATTATTGCCATAAATATGATGATGGATTATCAGTAATCATTTCAAAGTGACACAGAGACATTGGATTAACCTTCAGCAGCGTTTATATGCGTTTTAATGCCCTTGAACACAACTTTTGATCAGGAAACAGCAAAGGTAAGAAGTATTTGCGGTTGTGGCTCCGTAAAGCTAAGTTGTGTGTTGTCTTTGCTGGCTTTTGCTGCCGTGAGTTTTGGTCGCCCAGTGATGATACTTATACCATTGGAATCTGTGAAATCTCAGCTTTCATATGATATATAGTTTGTGCAGATTGCATGAAGTATAGAATATTGCTACTGTGAGTTATGTGCAGTGGCGGCCGGCCCATAGGGGCGCTAGGGGCGCCGCCCCCCCTCTTCCCACATTAAAAATAAAAAAAATTAAAAAATATATTTAAAAAATATATTTTTAATTTTAATTTTAATTTTTAATAAACAAGGTAAATATTATATAATTGGTATCAGTAAAATGTATAGTCTACAATAAAATCTCGTTTAAAATTGTGTTACGATGTCTAAAGTTACTGATAAGTCACATGTTTCCTGCCTGGCCTTGCCCGTGTATCATTACTCCCTCTCGTCTGGGCGCTATGCACAGCGCCCAGACGAGAGGGCAGCAAGTGCAGCAGAAGCCAACTGTTGCTATCTTTAAACTATGCCGCCGAAACATAATTTCAGCCAATCAGCGTCGTCAAATCTGATGGTCACAGGGCTCCTACGTGAGCGCCCGGTGCAGTCTGTGAGTTGTTTGGACTCGTATCCAAGGAGACAAAACAGGAAGCTGTCATACACTCTGGAAGCTACCATTAGCAGCTAATGAAAACTCCGTTTTTGACATAAAAATGGAATTATGGATCATCAATCATTTTTTCAAAGTGACAGACACATTGGATTAACCTATGGATTAACCTTCAGCTGCGTTTTTCTCGTTTTTGATCAGAATTGTTGTTCTGCAAAAGGTGAGCATATCTCCGTGTTTTGCTACCGAAAGCTACGTCGTGTGATGTCTGTATTTGCTTCCCCTGTCGCGAGTTCTGATCGCTCAGTGATGATACTTATATTTCTAGAATTTGTGGAATCTCAGCTTGTAAACACAGTTTATGCTGTAGAAACTATGTCCAGGACAGGGGCGTCGCCTGGACCTGAAAACATTCGGGGCTTAGCCCACAGTGGCGGCGGCACTACAGTGGCATTTTTCACTGCAACACTCCCCACACGCACACACACAGTACACCCGCAACTGTTACAATGAAGGCTCGATAATCAGCTCACGGCATATAGGCAGGGGTAAAGTGGTATTTTTTATGAGTGGGGGGCTTACCTCCTCTAGGAGGGTCCGGGGGGATGCTCCCCCGGGAAGACTTTTTTTTAAATATTGAAGTTAAATGCATCAATCTGGTGCACTTTGAGAGCAAAATGAAGAGATCTATGGATACCTCTCTCAACACCCATATGAAGCAGAACTGTAAACAGATGTACTTTTTCTTTATGGATATTTTACTAATCACTCCTCTTTTAAACTCTATTCTTGTTTTACTGCCATATAGTATTTCATAACTGTTTTTCCTTTATTCTCTTATTTTTTGTATAACTATAATGATCATATGAAGGTGTGCCGCGGAAATAATCTTTTGAATAATTTGTGACCAAACCGTTTGAGACCCACTGAGATAACTTAGACTAAAGTTATGTATCTAAACACTCAGAGAGTCCTTTAGCTCACCTGAGTCTCTCAGTCTGAGAGGAGAGGACTCTCCTCCAGCTTCTTGTGGAACAAACAGGTCCATGCTGGCACCGGTCCCTCCCTCCCCCTCTCTCTCTCTCTCTCTCCCTATCACACTAAATGCGCTATTGCCACACACACACACAGAGCCGAGCTTGAATGACACAAGCACACGTTTATTTCCATGCAACTCTCTGATTGGTCTGGTGTCATGCCTCTGTTGCATTCACTGAACACGGGAAATTACAGTGCTGCCGTCCTCTCTTGTGTCATGATGAGGTTCACGTAAAGCACGGTTAATGTATTATATTATTGAGGGAGAATTGTCCGGGGCTACAGAAAAAACATTCGGGGCTAAAGCCCCGGATGACCAGGCCAGGCGACGCCACTGGTCCAGGACAAGGTGTTTGGAAGTTTTGGAAGATTCATAGCTAACCACACTGAAGTTATGGAGGTATTGATCAGTCTTCTCATATTTTTAAGCCTCAAATTGTCCTCCCCCCCCTCTAACATCACCAGAAGTCATAATTTAGGGGGTCTTTTCTCCAAAAAATGCCCCCTAGTATTGTTTGATCACCATTTCCACAGCCCCACCTAAAATATTTTCCACCAGCCGCCACTGGTTATGTGCTAAGTGCGTTAGCACCCTTTGGCTTAGTGCTAATTCAGACGCTCGGCGTTAGAGTTGTGTTTTGTTTAGGTAAAAATGGTTCATATCGTCAGGTAGCTGAGTTTCTTCCCGTTAAGTGGGTATGACACATTGATAGGTTGTTAAATGTTAAGAAGCCCTGAGACACAGAAATTATAAAGCAGCTTTTGATGGCGTGCTATGCATGGGGACCCTTTGGGGGG